TGCTTGTTTATTATACATAAAACACCAGGCGTTCATAAACGGGTGAGAGATCAATAGTCTAAGTTTGTGTCTCGGTAAGCAGTAAGTAACACCTGGTTTTAAAACAGGAGTCCTTATGTAGATGCCTCTGTTCTTTTTATCAATTTTCAAACATTTTATACGTGGTAGAGCCACGCTGAAGCTATATTATGGTTGTGGCACGAATGGGTCGGCTCGACCGGAGTAAGCCACGCTCTGATATTCTGTGTAAAATAGCAGCTTCGTACGGTGAGTGTAGAGATCCAGAGACTCTTTTTACTGGAAACGAGTTATTCCATCTCAGTCCTCAGAGGTGACACCGCATCTGCGTTTTGATTCTTAATCGAAGATAAATGTAGATATCTATGGACCATAGAATCCACTTTTTTATACGATAGGGTGACAAACTAGCACACAGTCCACCTGATGGTAAGTGGTTGCTGCGGCCCATAGACATCTACATCTATCCTCGATCACAAGTCAAAATGCAGATGCGTTGTCACCCGTGAGGACTAAGGTGGAATGCCTAGTTTCCAGTAAAAAGGGTCTCCGGTTCTCTTCACTCACAATACGAAACACAGCAGCATTAAGCTGCTATTTCACGCTGGTATTCTGTGAGAGCGTGGTCCTTCCCCGGTCGAGCCGACCCATTCGTGCTACAACTATACTGCTAATATAACTGCAGCATGGCTCTACCACGTATAAAAAGATTTACCATCAGATGGACTGTATGCTCGCTTGTCACCCAAATTTTATAAAAAAAAATAATCTTATCTTTATCTATACATATCAATATAATTGTTTGTAACATGGAAATAACTGCCTTTTATTTGCATGTCATTACGACATGAATAACTATTTTAAAATTTTGAAAATCTGTCTGTCTGTCTATCCGGGCTACTCTTTGGAATGGCTGAACCGACAGAAAGTAAGCAATGCCAGGAGTAATCTAAACTAAGATTTTATCCAATAATTCTTTTTTTTTTTTGTAAACTGGAAAAAAATGATAAAACAAAGTGGTCACTAATTATTATTTAAAAATTCTTAATGATGCCACATCAATATATCACACCCGAGCGAAGCCGAGGCAAGCCGCTAGTCCTTCATATAACATTGTCATCCTTCTCATTAGCCACCAATGGATTTTAAGGATTGAAGGCTCGTTAGCGCAACGGCTACGCATTTGGATGTTTGTTTGGTTATGCGTAGAGCCGCATATTCGAGTCCTTTACAGAACAAGTGTTTTATGGCTTGCAAATTACAAACCACTGTCCCGGGTCTGAATATATTTTTGTATCAACAGCTATGCAGGTCTAGCACGACCAGTGTCTCTGAAACCAGCATGATCTATTGCGACCGCTGCTATGGCTTTTGGTCACTGTAGCTGCTAAGCTCTACATCTTCAATGAATTGAAGGAGATGCGTAGGCGTAAATTTCTGTAAGTAAAGTCTTAGTTTTCCAGATGAATGCTACGTGTGCGCATAAAGGGTCCACATTCAATAGAGCCGTGGTAGTCAGATGATTAGCGGTCGCATACTGTGAAATTTACAATTTCACAGTATGCAAGTAATCCGGTTTCGACCCTCGCCGGCATCATTAAATTGTTAATTGTAATCTTAAGTGCTCATTTATCACGTGCTCAACGGTGAGGGGAAACCTGCTTGTCTGCGAAATAAGAAAAAATATTTCGAGGACATGTAAAGTTCGCCAACACACATTGGGGCAGCGCGGCAGACACTTCCTTGCCCTAAACCCTCTTACAAATGAGTATTGTGACGTTGTAACTTTAACTTTTATTTAATTATAATATTTTTTTGCATTGCATTTTGCATTGGGTGACAGACGAGTACCCAGTCCACCTGATGGTAAGTGAATGCTGTGGCCCATAGATATCCACATTTATCTTCAACTAAGGATCAAAATGCAAATGCGTTGTCACCCCTGAGGACTAAGATGGAATGCTTCGATTCCAGTAAAAAGGGTCTCCGGATCTTTACACTCACCACACGAAACACAGCAGCATTACGCTGCTATTTTATGCTGGTATTCCGTGAAAGCGTTGTCCTGCCCCGGTCGAGCCGACCCATTTGTGCTACAACTACTATATATATGTATATATATATATATATATATATATATATATATAGCTACAATATAGCTGTAACGTGGCTCTAGTTACCACGTAATACGTGTGCTGTTTCTTCCGCTAAGAAATAGAATCTGGACACCCTTGAACTGAATCGAATTTACGATCATACGCCCGGATTAAGATCTTTCAGGTTTAAACGATTCACGCATTATCAAACTGGCTAAGATCATGCTTAGTGACTTGCAAGTCACTAAGCATGATCTTAGTACCAGCGGCCTCATGATACAAAAGAAATACTTTTACCATTACCACTGAAATCAAATATTTTAAGTGATAGGGCTCCACCTATTTGCTTTGAAGTTCGTAAAAGTAGGCTCTACCGTCTTGCTTATTTTTGCCGCCAAGCAATATCGCAAATAGTGATGTTTCGGTTTAAAAGGTAAGAAAGCCTGTTTATTTCAGTTCATTGTTTTAGAATGGCCCTTCAGTAGGTCGTCAGAGCTTAAACTCAATTTTTTTTATATTTCTAAGAAAACAATTGAAATGCGGAGATTAACGTTAACAAATTGATTTAACAATTTGAATTTGATCTACTTACGTTTCAAAATACGGTTCCTCCGTCCGGTTTATCCATTTTAAAAGCCAATGTTGTATTTCATTAAATTTTAAAAGGTTAAGTTTTTTTATGGCAAGGAAGGTGAGGTCCAGATTTAGGGAATTTTTTCACATATTCTCTCTAATAATACAGTATTAACATGACTGTGAAAATGGTACTATACTTGGTAGGGCCATGCTGCAGCTATATGGCCGTAACACAAATGGGTCGGCACGACTGGGGAAAGACCACGCTCTCACGAATTAATACTGGTACGTTTCGTGTGGTGAATGCAGAGATCATTATAGCTTATAGCTTCATATTTTTAAAGAAAGGCCTAGATAAGGCTGGCTTCAATATATGTATGTAAGTATGTGTTTTGTATTGTGTTATTATTACTACAATTATTTACTACTATATATAATATTATTACTACTATTAATACCCACAAGATCATGTTTTATTACGTGGTAGAGCCATGCTGCAGTTATATTAGTAATATAGTTGTAGCACGAATGGGTCGGCTTGACCAGGGCAGGACCTCGCTCTCACGAAATACCAACATAAAATAGCAGCGTAATGCTGCTGTTTTTCATGTGGTGAGTATAAAGATCCGGAGACCCTTTTACTGGAATCGAGGCATTCCATCTTAGTCCTCAGGGGTGACAACGCATTTGCATTTTGATCCTTAGCTGAAGATAAATGTCTATATACCACAGCATTCACTTACCATCAGGTGGACTGGGTAATCGTTTGTCACCTTATACTATAACAAAAAACATTCGAATTAAATAAAAGTTACAGACTATATACGTCACACTACTCATTTCTGAGAGGGTTTAGGGCAAGGAAGTGTCCGCCGCGCTGCCACAATGCGTGGCGTTGGCGAACTCCACATGTCCTCGAAATAGTTTTTTCCTTATTTCTCAGACACGCGGGTTTACTCGCGTTGTTACACTACACCGCCGAGCACGTGGTAAATCAGCACTTAAAATTGCAATCAACAATTTCTTGCTGCCGGCGAGGATCGAAACCAGATTGGTGCGCGTATTGTGAAATTTACAGCGACCGCTAACCATCTGAACTACCACGGTTCTATTGTGTAATGTGGACCTTTTATGCGCAAACGTAGCATTCATCTGGGGAACTAAGATTTTACTTACGGGAATTTACGCCTAAGCAACTCCTTCAATTCATTGAAGATGTAGATTGTAAAGCTTAGCAGTAACAGTGACCAAAAGAATTAGCAATGATCACAAATCACAATAGATTATTCTGGTTTCAGAGACACTGGTCGTACTAGACCTGCATAGCTGTTGATACAAAAATATATTTAGATGAAGTGCACTACTGAACATAGGTCTCCCCCACAGATTGCTAATAGAGGAGATTTTTGCCATAGTTGCCACACTTGGCAGGCGGGCTCACAACCGTAGTTTTTTTTATTATTTTGTATTGTTATCAGGAAGATGTTGGTGCATTTCTCTTGATTAATTTCCCTCAGTCACCTCTCACGACACCCACTGGCTTTATATTTATTATGGGGCAGTGGATTTTTTTTAACCGCCACTACGAGACGAAACATCATAATATTATCTTGGCTACACTCTTCCAGTCGAGTACAGATAACGACTTAGTTTAGCAGTTTTACATGTAGCGTAAAAATATAACACTCAGTTAAGACATTTATGTGAACACATAACTTAAGCGAAATGGTATGCTTTATTACTAAAAAGTACAAACACTATATGGCGGAGTAAAACCAATGGAATACCTAAATAATGGCTGCAATGTGGATGGCATGAAGATATCGAACTCGAACGAAGTTCGAACGGGAAATGATAAGACACCAAGAGATCATCATCGAGAAACAGCAGTATAATGTTTTGTCAATTGTCATTTTGCATCATTAGAATACCTAAACTGTGTGCTCGTTAGTCACCTTCGCTTCTATAGAAGAAAATCTGCGTAAAAATAAATTTTTATGCACTAGAAAAACTCACGGCCCCATGTCATATTTTATATCCAAAAACTATAACTGTACCTATGTACATCTGTAATACAATGCGTATTTACCAACCGCCTATTTATTACGAAAGAATTGAAACTATAACACAAATCTCTTTCTTCCTTGTTTAGATACAGAAATTTATATATTTATCTTAGTATTATTTTTAAAACAATGTATGAATATGAAGATGCAACATTATATGGACATTATTCACATTATAGAACAGAAGTTTAATAAACTTTAATTTAGTCACATTACGTAAAATAAACCAAAATGAAAATTGAAACTAACCTGCGTAACATAATGCGATGTAATCTTCCGTTGAGGTTGACCCATCTGGCAGCTTCCATGATAACTTAAACTCGGAGCCTTCGAGAGTCCAACTAAGCGTTCCTTTATGCTTAACATTTCTACCCGACGAATCTTTGTTATCATTTAAATTACACTTAATATTTTCTTTGCTACTTATGGGACTAGTTTGGACATCGGTAGGAGTATTGGCACTTTTTGTTTCAACACATTCTTCCTGAACTGTCTCTGTTGCTCTCTCAGATTCTGCACTCGATTTTTTGCACTGACTGGCATTAAACTGAATATCACTATCGGCACCATCTTTGTCATGATCTTCTGACATGACTCTCCCAATAATTCTATTCAAACATTGTTCCTTTTACTGTTACTGGCACAATTTACAAAATTAGAATTGACATTAATTTAAGTAAAAAAAAAACAAAGCCACAGATATTAGGTAACTATAAGTAAACTTGGAGAGGAGACTTTGCAATCCAATGAAACTACATATGAAGAGCAGTGCTAACTAGAGGGTTGTTTGGTATCTAAGGGAAGACGGATGAATTTACGAGTGGAGGGGTGCAGTGGGGAGGACGGGAAAGTGTGGGCGCCGTCGCGACGCCAGCCTGACCGACGCCGTCAGCATCCTACAGTTGTATATATCTGCCTATTCAATAATCCTCCCATTGCATAATATGACCTTATACATATTATAAAAGGTTGAAAATTTCAAGTTTTCATTCAATTAAATAAATGAAAAAGTAATTTCTAAATACAAGCATACAATCTATTTTATTATATTTATTTAAAAAATGTCACAACTTATTAAATGAAATAAATAGGAAATGTACATGCATTAAATATGCAGCATTTACTTGAATTTTACAAAGTAATCGCAAAATCCTATTAAATATCTTAACTGCCACATTTGGCAAACATAATATGCTGCACATTACCAGCCCACTTATGGCTAATCAGCAAACATAATACCTACATGTATCTAATATTTTACCAAAAAACTACACAAATTTTTCTATGCAGTACATACATTAAAATGGAATCAGCACACCTACATTAAAAATCTAATTTAGTATGAAGCTTTAAACTACAACTGTATTACAAAAATATATTTTTTCTAGCATCATTTTATTTTTAAACAACTAAAATATTGTTCAACCAAAATGATACAAATTCTTGAGTTTTAAGCTAAGATATGAGTAAAGATCGACAACTAATAAAAAGTAAATTATTATTTTAAATTTAGATATGGCACACTTCTACTATATTAGATGAAACATATTTTAGCAAATTGTTATTTTAAGACTTTTTTTTATAGAATGAGGGTGACAAACAAGCACACAGTCCACCTGATGGTAAGTAGATGCTGTGGCCCACAAACATCTACATTTATCCTCGATTAAGAATCACACAGATGCTTTGTCACCCCTGAGGACTAAGATGGAATGCCTAATTTCCAGTAAAAAAGGCTCTTCGGATCTCTACACTAACCATATGAAACAAAGCAGTATTAAGCTGCTATTTTACACTGGTATTTTGTGAGAGAGTGGTCCTTACCCGGTCGAGCCGACCCATTTGTGCTACAACCATAATATAGCTGCAGCGTACATCTAATACAATTTTCACTAAACAAAATAATTAATAATTCAAACATTCTTTGTTGTAAGATTTGAATTAAAACATTTAGTTTTAATTCAAATCTTACAACAAAGAATGTAATATTTTGTTTAACACAATAGTAATAAAAAATGGTTGTAGCCTTTAATGAGTTTATTTTACGAAACTCAGCAGCAGCCTCAAACAAGGAAACCTACAGACTCATTGTCACCTCTGAGAGCTAAGGCGGAATGGCCCACCCTGTTGTTATACCATGTGTCATAGTCACACTGGAATGTAGTAGTGTAGGCACCACTAACTGGTAACAGAAATAGGTGAGGGTGGAACCTGCTCAGGCAGACTCTTATCAAAAACGAGTCTCACCTAAATATTTGTGTTAGACCTCTAACATTGTTAAATTGGATATTATGTTTTCATTAATTAGGACATTTAATTTAGTCACTTTCACTACACTATACTGTGTTAATTGTATTTGGTTTTTTAATATTAGCTATATAGTGTGTATTGACGAGAAAATTTACAAAAACTCATCTTTAACTTATTTAAACACGGAGCTAAATAGATAATTTTTTTTTTTTAGATAAATAAAAAACAAATGATCGAGTTATACAAACGTTTTATAGGAGATGGACTGAGGATGAGCGGAAAATAAGGAGTCTAATGGTAGCAAGAGGATACTAGAACAAGCTTTCTTTTTGCATAATTAAAAAAATTAAAACAAATAAAATTATTTATTTGCCTGCGACACTTTCACAATAATAATTTTATGGTTAAATCATTAATCAATAAAAACAAGATGTAACAAATCATAAGCTATCAATAAATGAAACGACGAATATTACAGAGAAAAATCTAGCAAAGCACACACTTATTCACGAATGAAAATTAATTATTCTTTTCAATCTTTATGTTTTATCCTCTAAAACCTAAATTCAATTATCCTAATTCTAACATTTCTATTAGCGACTGCACAATTCCGTTTTGAACGTCGTGAAATATACAATGAGAAAACCAATCCACCAATCGGTAAAATAAATTCCATGCGCGATTTTTTATTAGTGTTTTCGACTTTCACGAAGCCGAGATACGAAGAAGAATTTAGAAAAATTCTTCAGTTGAATAGAAATAGAATATTTTTGACATTAGAAAAATGTCACTTGATCAATGTTGCCACATTGAATTAGCGTAGGTCGCTAGACTGCCATCAAAAAGTATATAAAAGAATTTCGTAACAAAAAATTCTACAATTCGCTAAATATAACTTTATTAAAAAAAGACGAAACAAAGAAAAATCGAACACTATATATATATATACAATACAAACACTCACGCCTGTCGCCCAGAGGGGTAGGCAGAGACTACGGACTTCCATTTGGCACGATCCTGACATACCTCTTTCGCCTCCTTTACATCCATATATCTACGCATACATGCTCGTCGGTTAAGGGTACTTCTAACGTGGCCCATTTTCAAAATATCGCAAATTTGGTCGATAAACTTTTTTCTAGGGCGTCCCTTCCCGACTCGGCCATTCACATCTGCCACATATAAATTTGCTTTGTCACTCTTTCCTCATTCATTCTTTCTACATGACCAAACCACCGAAGCATTCCTTTCTTAATCCTGGTCACAACATCATCTTGCATACCACATTTATCTCTTACCACGCAATTTCTCACCCTGTCATTCAAATTCAACCCTAGTATATTCCTTAAAGACCGCATTTCTACAGCATTTATTCTACTTTCGTGCTTCTTCTGCCACACCCACCTTTCACTACCATACATTAAAGTAGGGACTAACACAGCATTATGAATTACCATACGTGCCTTTTTTGACACATTCTGGTTCTTCATAATAGAGTGTAGTGCCCCATTCACTCTATTCCCTGCATTTACTCGTCGTTCTATATCCCTATCATATCTACCATCCCTGCTAAATACACATCCCAAATACACAAACTCATCCACTTGCTCAATTAACTCTCCTTCTATTCTTATTTCACATACCGTTTTGCTTTCTTCTCTTTCAAAAACCATCACTTTCGTCTTACTTGCGTTCACTTTCATTCCCCTTTCTTTTAATTCCCAGTTCATTAATGTAACCATCATTTGCAACACAGCTGCCGATGACGCAAATATGACTTGATCATCGGCATACAGACATTTGACGATTAACTCGCCCATTTTTAACCCACACTCTTCATCTTTCAAAGTTTGCAAACACCCGTCCATAAATAGGTTGAACAGCCAAGGGGAAGCTACACAGCCCTGTCTGACACCTTTTTGGATGCCAAACCAGTCCGAGTAGACCCCATTGATCCCGACACAAGCACTAGAGTTCCTATAAAGAGACCTCAATGCCTTTATCAAACCAGCGCTCAACCCATATGAGTTCAGTGTTTGCCATAACACATTCCTGTCCACTCTGTCATAAGCCTTTTCCAAGTCCATGAACGCACACACGTCTGGTTTTTGGCCTAAAACTTCTCCGCAATCATGCGCATGGAAAAGATTTGATCTGTACACCCCATTCCCTTTCTAAAACCCGCTTGCACATCATTGCACACATATCAAGAGACAGTCTTGAATCGTGTTGTGAAACCTCTCAGTAAATACCCTTTTTAAAAATGTACCGTGAACTCTCCAGCAGGACTCTGCACCTGGTCACGAGGCATGGACTACCCAAGCCTGACTTGAAACCAACGTTTGGGACCTTATAAGAGCTGAAGACTGACCCTCATCTAGCCCAGATCTCAACCCTTTAGACTACAAATTATGGTCAGTTTTAGAGGACATGGCTTGCTCGAACGAAATAAGACAACGCAAAGGAAGTAGTCTTAACGCGACCTAACGATTCTAACGTAACTTCCCGACATCTAACCGACACGGCCATCGCGGACAATTGATTGTTCCAGACTAATTGGCATGGCCGCAGCCGGCAAAACGAATGCCCGCCAGCTCAAACCGCCAAACAGGTTTATCGCCCGAGACGAGCGTTTTCGCAAGTTTTAAGTTGTTACGATTTGGCCTAAACAAACGCAATAACAAAATAATACCAAAGTATAAAAACCAACAGCAACACCATAAACATTCTTCTGCTTTAGAAGAACCACTACAATGGCGGAACCACAATTTTTTCATTCTACGAGTCCCAGCACTCGTTGAATGACCTGGTTGGAATCCCTTGCACACGACACCCACAGTGAACTCCACTCTGCACAAACTCCCGATATAACCTCAATTCTATAATACTACCATGAATACGACCATTCCTCCAGAATGATGCAACCTCTCTGTACTTTATAGACGCGCCCGCATGGCCACCTCCGACTATCGCGCGTCCTCGTGCGGTTGGCAGTAAGCCGTTAGCATTCGGTCTATCAGTTATCTCAACCTGCCAACAGATATCGTCACCTGTTAGATATTACAACGCCCGACCATCCCTTCAAATTCATTTAGGTCGTAGACATGCCCTCACGACATCCTCCTCATCTTCTACCAATCTCTTGACATCCAACGCTGATCTTATCGACCACACCATATTGGGAGTAAGCTGCAACATTTATCACACGTTAGAACACAAAAAGGCCACTTATTATTTTCGATTCATAGCAAGTCGAAGCTGATTGTTTATCACATCGCTTAAAGATTTCAAACTTCAATAGTTAGCCCTAAATCATATTTCGCATGAACTATGAAATCATAA